TGCAGATTCCTGGGACGTAGGCTGGGTGGGCACCGGGAGGAAAGCCCACCAGGCCTTGGTTAAGCGCGACCACTGGAACACTGCGCGGGGTACTGAAGAGCCCTGGCAGTGCTTCTGCCGCAGGCCTCCAGGCACTGCATCCTCCGCCATTGCCCCGCCTCTGCGCCCGGCGAGCGCTGTCCAGTAGGGGGCGCGCGCGGACCAGGCCTGGGCCCCAGACACATACCAGCAGAGCTGGGGGAGCAAGTCCCCGGATCCTGCAGGTTTCAACCCTCCCCACCCTCCGGGTCCGTACTGTTGAATTTAGAGGTCGATCCACAAAAAGCGGCTAGGGGCTCCAGCTCTCTCCTGTGGGTCTGTCTGGGATCAGCACCTCACCCGGGTGAAAAGCCTTAGTCTAGATTTGGCAGATTCTCTGAATCTGGGGCCCTTAGCGCTGGCGGCTTGGAGCCTGGTATCCCTCCTCTCCCGGACCCCTTCTTCTAGCCACCTGATTAGGTGCCTGTTTCTTTAAAGATCAAAGACGTGGGCGGCGGGGGTGGTATCTTCGCTCCCGGTTTCCCAGCCCTCAAGTAATTGTATCATTATTAACATTATAAACCTTAAACCAGCTTCTGTGCTCTGCTGGCTCCAGACGAGGTGCGCGCTGCGTTGTCTTCTAGCTGCTGAACCAGAAGTCGCGCCTCTCACCTCCGCGGACTCTGCCCCGGGTGCCTCGGGCTCCAGCCGTGCCGAGGCCGGCCCTGAGCTCTCCAGGGTCGAAGGCGGGGGTAAGGGGCGTCTTTCCCCCAGGGTAGGCTCGGGGAACAAAAGCGTTGGCTAGAGCAGCCGGGACTGCAGGAGTCAGCGCCCGCACCCGGGTGGCCATCGCGTCCTTAGCTGTCCTCCTCCAGGCTCCTGGAGCCCTATCTCCTGACCAAGTCCCGAGCTTCTGTAACGCCGGGAAGAAAGCAAGGAAAGGGGGTTTTCTTGGTCGGCTGGCCCGAAGGGTTACGGGGTCGCTTGTGGAGTGGGTACCTGCTGCAGTCCTGGGAAACTCTGGACAGGCAGCTAGGGGAGCCCATTCTCCTTAATACTCCACAGACTCTATCCAGTCCCTTGTCCCTTCCCAGTTGTCTCCTCCTCCACCACCGCTTCCCAGCCAAATGCAGAAAAAACTAGAAAAGAAGTAAAAACGGAGGGGAGAGCAAACAAACCTTGAGTCTCCACGCCTGGAACTTTCCTTTCTGTCTCCATGCCTGGTGCTCCTCCCTCAGCCCGAAAAGTCTCTGAACCCGCCATCAAGGACCCCACTCTATGGCACGCGACTGAGCCCCCGTTCCTCGGATCCCTCTTCCCTGGGCAAGGCTCCCAGGACGGCCCTTCAGGGTTCCCCAGATGCAGACAGCATGCCCAGCACGACCCCCACCCTTTGCTCCATAGACAAAGAAGGCCATACCAGTCCGGCTGCCTGAGTCACCCCAGGGCCCAACAAGGCCTCCAAACCTCAGGGAATGAGTCTGGGCTCTGGACTCACTCCCAGTTGTCCCATGCAGGGTTCCTGGGAGAATGGGTCACAGTGCTCTCACCCTACGGCCCTTCTTGAAGCCAGTTTCTCCCAGGGGCACCCTCCTCAAAGGTGGGCTGGCTGGGGGGGATCCCAGACATGAGCAGGCGGAGTGAAGTTCTAGGTTCTGAACTCGGCTGAGCAAGATGCGCTGGGCCGCCGGGCCGCCTGTAGCGACAGCAGGAGTAGGACAGAGGGAGGGACGCGGAGTGTCTGTGCACCAGTCTGTTCATATTTAATTTACAAAGAATCCTCGAACCTCGGGCCGGGTGGTCTCTTTAGATGCTGCCTTCCAGCCAGTCTCTCTTCCCCGCCCCCTTCCCAGCTCATTAAAATGCTCAACACTGAAATGGGGGTATTGATCTCCGCAGAGCCCCAAACTCCAGCCATCGATCCACCCTGAGCGATCCCCACGGCCCGGGGTAAGAGCTGGGGGAACACGTGCGCTCAGTGAGCTCAGTGTCTACAAAAAGGACAGGGGGGTGGGGGTGGGGCTGGGGCTCCCAGTGTCTCCCTGAGCCCTTACGTCTTTTCGGGTTCTGGCCAGCAGCTCTGTCTTCAGGGCTGCGGTAAGCATTACGGGGAATGGGGGGGCGGAAATGGGGTTTTAGCCAAATGTCTCGACATCCCCCCGCCTCCGCCCCCTTGTCGCTAAAAGAAATGTCGGGGTTTCGTCAGAAATAGGGAGCGGGAGAGTCGCGAGCAGCGAGTCTGCTGAGGCCGGCTGTTGTGTGAGGGTGTGAGACGGCGGGGCGGTGGCGGGCCACGGCGGGTTTGACGGATAGTGTGTGTCGGGCTGATGGTGTGTGTGTGTGTTTAAGAGACTGTAAAGATACCGGGTGGAGGGAAGAAATGCTTTGGACATAAGTACCCAGCCCACTGTGTTCAAGAGGAGCAGACGTTTGGAATCTTCCCTGTCTGTGCCACTGTCTGCTGCAGCCTCGGTGCTCCATTCGCCTGGAGGTGACGAGACCCCAGAGTGAGGTGCTTGGGTGCGCTCAGACTAGCTTCACCCTGGCCCACCCCATTCCGCGTTGCGCAGTGGGTTTTTCTGGCGTTGGTTTAGCCACAAAAGAGACATAAAGAGTTCCAGCTTAAAAGACTGGGCAGGGGCCCGATGGGTTGTGGAGAGGGGCGTCCCTTCCCCCCACGCCCTTCAGGACCGCAGGTTCTCGCCTCCGGGTTAGACTAAGGGGGGCAGGGGAGAACTGGGTTTGTATCAGCCCAGATCCAGGCAAAAATGGTAGGGAGGGTGAGGCGCTCTGCTAACACTATCAATTATGCATCATGTTGAACGTGGCTTCAGGGAGGAGGAGGCTAGCAGGGAGGTGCGGGAGGGGAGGGTCCGCGCGAGTCCGGCTGCGCGCAGCACCAGCGGGTCCCACTCCAGTTCTGTCTGCGCCACCGCCGGCATTTGCCAAAAGAGTTTAAAGGCAAAGACACGCCTTCCCCCCCACCCCAGCTGAGCGCTTTTCCTTCCCCCAAATTCCTCAAAGATGGTTTGTCTCACGTGTTGCTGGGCGGAAAAGCAGCTCGCATTCAATTAGCAGTGAAGCTCACAGTCGCTGGCGGGCCGGGCGCGTGAGGGTGAGTGTGCATGAATGTGTGTGTATTCGAGCGAGGTAGGACGGTGTCCCAGGTGAAGGTGTGCCTGTGAAAATGCATGTGAAGGTAGCGAGAGCACAGGACACTCGCGATTATTACAGGACGATAGATAATTGGAACGTGGGAGGGTCGCCTGTATGGAGGTTGTGAGGGTCTCTCTGTGTGTGAATGTGTTTGAACATTGGGGGGGGGCAGTGTGATGTGGGATACTGACAATGTCCTTGGGTGTGTAAATGTGGGGAGATGTGGGTTATGGGGAGGCAGTGGGATAGGAAGAGCTAAGCTGAGAACAGTGGGTGTGTGACAGGACGAGAGTCTTGACCTCAGGGAGGGTCTCTGTGTCTTTAGCAAATGTAGAAGATGTAGAAAGTGGGAGAGGCTGTGCGCGTGCCCACCAAGCCTGAGAACCCGCAAGGATGCTCTCCAACCTGCACCCAGAGAGGTGGGGGCAGATGATGTGGGGAACGAACGCCAAAGGAAAAACTGAAGTGGGACTTCTGGACAGGGAGTCCCCAGACTCACCTGTTCTTTTCTCTGCCCCTCCCAGGTTTTCCTTACAGTGTCAGCAACAGATGCTGGAAGCTTCCTTGGACTGTGGTCCCTGCTCCTCCACACCTCTGGACAAAGGGTTGCAGCCGGAAAGCAGTGTACTGGGAGTCAGCAAACAGCAGGTAAGTCCCACAACCTCAATGCTGGTGGAGCAGGTCCAAGATAGGGCCCCAGACCCTGAGGATGCCATCTAGGAGGAGTCAGGAGGGAGGGTTCCTCCCACTGGAGGCAGAGTAGGGGAAGCTAGTTTCCTAAAACGAAGTGTAGGAGGGGCTCTTGCCGATATCCCGGGGTGGGCACACTCACAGTCTGTGGAAGTGTGTTTGTGTGTCTGGGGATAAGGTTTATTAGGGACCCTCACGCTTCGTGGAGCTATGGAGAAAGACATAGAATCTTGAATCTTCTCCAGCTTCATTGGCTAGTAGAACCCCCTTAATCTTTTGGCTAGTGGCTCCTCTGTCTCCCCACCCCCAGCCACCAGAGCCCTGACCAGAGGGAGAAGCTTTAGTAACAGTTCCTTGAATGCACCTGGTAGACATATGGAGGAGGACCTCCCTCTTTATACTGAAGGCTTGCCAGTACCTATGGCAGGTGACTTAAGCAACAGCCAGAGAATGGCATGGAGTTTGGCTTACCCAGATCCCACAACTTAAGCCACATTGGCAAGTTCTTGGTATTATTTATCCACTAAGGTTTCAGTCCCAGCAAAGGGCTGTGTACAGGCACAAGTGCTCTTCTGTGTTCCTGTGTGTGGATTACTTCGTGGGAGAACTTGTGTTCTCGTGTCTTTCAGTTCTCACAATGGATAGAAAAGTGCTTTTTGCCCTGGTGGAAAACACTTACAAATGCTGGGTTCGGTTGAGAGAACAATGAGGTCTTCAGGGTATATTGTATCCTGTATGTGTGGGGGACTAAGTGTGTGTCAATAAATATGTTGTGAACCTTGGATAAAGCATCAAATCCTCTAACCCCCTGCAGAAGTTCGCAGTTTGATGGCAAAGCCCCAGCATCTGTTTGTATTGTGAGCCTGCATGGGCATGTGTGTGAGTGCTGGGCCTGGGACAAAGGGCTTCAGGGAGGACAGCCAGTTGTGGACAAAAATATCCATTCTGTGTATCTTTTAACCGGGTTAAATGAGGGCTTGGAAACAGAGGGGTACAGTGCAGAGCCTACTTGTAGACCAGCGAGCAGTGGAGTCTACGGAGGGGCCAGCTCCAGGGTGACAAGATAAGTAGTGAAAAGAGCAATGTACTGGGATCCTGGACAAGAAAGTGGCAGGGAGCATCCGTTGAACTTCGAGACTTTTATTGACCTCCCAAGAGAGGATCCTGGGCATAAAGGAGATTACTGGCACAGAGGAGCCCTGGGACCAGTGGTAGGCGGTTTGGAGACACAGAGCTCGGTAAGGGAGGAAAGCAGGGGCTCAGTGAGTTATCTTCTGCCCTCTTTCCCCGGCTTCCATCTACAGGAGCCGCAATGGCGCCCCTTCGGGCCCTGTGGTTGACCTGGGCGCTGCTAGGAATGGCTGAAGCGTGCCCGGAGCCATGCGCCTGCGTGGACAAGTACGCTCACCAGTTCGCCGACTGCGCCTACAAAGAGTTGCGCGAGGTGCCCGAAGGACTGCCGGCCAATGTGACCACGCTTAGCCTGTCGGCCAACAAGATCACCGTTCTACGGCGCGGGGCCTTCACCGACGTCACGCAGGTCACATCACTTTGGCTGGCGCATAATGAAGTGCGCACCGTGGAGCCAGGTGCACTGGCTGTGCTAAGTCAGCTTAAGAACCTCGACCTAAGCCACAACCTCATATCCAGCTTCCCTTGGAGCGACCTGCGTAACCTGAGCGCGCTGCAGCTGCTCAAAATGAATCATAACCGCCTGGGCTCGCTGCCGCGGGACGCACTGGGCGCGCTGCCGGACCTGCGCTCCCTGCGCATCAACAACAACCGGCTACGTACGCTGGAGCCCGGCACCTTCGACGCGCTAAGCGCTCTGTCACACCTGCAACTCTATCACAATCCCTTCCACTGTGGATGCGGCCTTGTGTGGCTGCAGGCCTGGGCAGCGAGCACCCGGGTGTCCTTACCTGAACCGGACTCCATTGCGTGTGCCTCGCCTCCTGCGCTGCAGGGTGTTCCGGTGCACCGTCTGCCCGCCCTGCCCTGTGCACCGCCTAGCGTGCGTTTGAGTGGGGACCCTCAACCCGACACACCGGGCACCCCGCTGCGCGCGGGCTTGGCATTCATTTTACACTGCTTAGCCGATGGCCACCCCACTCCCCGCTTGCAGTGGCAACTTCAGATTCCAGGTGGCACCGTAGTCTTGCAGCCGCCTGTCCAGAGCGGGGAGGACGATGGGGACCGGGCAGAGGAGGAGGAGGGAGAAGGAGATGGGGATGTGTTGACGCAGACCGAGTCTCCCACCCCGACTCCAGCACCAGCTTGGCCTGCGCCCCCAGCCACCCCCCGCTTCTTGGCCCTCACAAATGGCTCCCTGTTGGTGCCTGTCTTAAGTGCCAAGGAGGCAGGCGTCTACACATGCCGTGCATACAACGAGCTGGGCGCCAACTCTACATCAGTACGGGTGGCGGTGGTAGCAGCTGGGCCTCCAAAACACGCTCCTGGCGCTGGGGGAGAACCCGATGGGCAGGTCCCGACCTCTGAACGCAAGTCCACAGCCAAGGGCAGAGGCAACAGTGTCCTGCCCTCCAAACCCGAGGGCAAAATCAAAGGTCAAGGCCTGGCCAGGGTTAGCGTACTTGCGGAGCCGGAAACGGAGACCGAAGAGGAGGTAGGTGAGGGAGAAGAGGCTGAAGACCAGACCCCTGCGGATCGGGCGGAGAAGCAGCACTGTGGTCACGGGGACCCGTCTCAGTACGTGTCTAACCACGCGTTCAATCAGAGCGCAGAGCTCAAGCCTCACGTCTTCGAGCTGGGTGTCATCGCGCTGGACGTGGCGGAGCGGGAGGCACGGGTACAGCTGACACCGATAGCTTCGCGCTGGGGCCCTGGGCCGGGCGGGGCTGGGGGACCTGGGAGGCCTGGGCGGCGGCCCCTGCGCCTTCTCTATCTGTGTCCAGCGGGGGGCGGGGCGGCAGTGCAGTGGTCGCGGGTAGAGGAGGGCGTCAACGCCTACTGGTTCCGAGGCCTGCGGCCTGGCACCAACTACTCCGTGTGCCTGGCGCTGGCGGGCGAGGCCTGTCACGTGCAAGTGGTGTTTGCCACAAAGAAGGAGCTGCCCTCGCTGCTGGTCATCGTGGCGGTGAGCGTATTTCTCCTGGTGCTGGCCACCGTGCCCCTGCTGGGCGCCGCCTGCTGCCATCTGCTGGCCAAACACCCGGGCAAGCCTTACCGTCTAATCTTGCGGCCGCAGGCCCCCGACCCTATGGAGAAGCGCATAGCCGCCGACTTCGACCCACGCGCCTCGTACCTCGAGTCAGAGAAAAGCTACCAGGTAGGAGGCGAGGCAGGCGGCGAGGAGCCAGAGGAGGCCGCGGAGGAGGGCCTTGACGAAGATGCGGAGCAGGAGGACCCAAGTGGAGGCCTGCAGAGGGAGGAGAGCTTGGCAGCCTGCTCGCTGGTGGAGTCCCAGTCCAAGACCAACCAAGAGGAGTTCGAGGCGGGCTCAGAGTACAGCGATCGGCTGCCTCTGGGCGCTGAGGCGGTCAACATAGCCCAGGAGATTAACGGCAACTACAGGCAGACCGCGGGCTGAACCTCCGGTCCCCTCGGCCCGCCCATTCCCAACCCCCACCTTGGGTGCCTGGGAGCAGAAGCTTAGGGCTGACAGGACTTATACCCCCGCCCCGACCTTCACTTACTCCACCCCTTTACCACTCCCCACTTCACCACTGGGGACTTGAAGTAGGGAGTGGTCGCTTTTCACAGTCCTCCGACCACCCACGGCGGTCATTCTCCCCGCGGGCTGAATCCTCCCCTCCAGCAGGGCTCTTCCCCCACAGTATAGGACACAACCTGCTGACCAGGAAGCGAGATCTACGCCCCTCCGTCTCCTGGCGGTTATCTGCGAAAACCGCAGCACCGCCCTCCCCACCCCAGGCTCTGGAACCCAAGGAAACGCGCGAAGGCCTTGAAAACCTCTGATGATAACGCTGTGGCTCCTGGGCCTCCGGGGACCGCCAGTAGATGTTCTATGGTGGAGCGCTGTGGGGTCCTGCCTTGACCCCGACCCCCCACTCTGCCTTTGGGGATTGTATGTCTCAGAAGCCAGGATTCACGACAAACCCTAGTTTTTAGTTACAAAGACCTCCTCGCGACGGGGAACCAAATCCTTCTGTCCCGCCACCCCCACCCTGCGTCCGTGCAGTTGGGACCGAGCCGGGTGTCTGGGGCACCTTTCAGCTCCGCGCTCAGATTTCCGTATTTTCGTTGTTTTTCAAAGACAGCGGCATTCTGGATCTGGTGCTAACCTCCCCCGCAGCCTGTGGGAAGACTGCGGAGGCGCGTGTCGGAGGCGGCAGAGGGAGCCTATTTTCTTTCGTCTCTCCCCTAACTTGAAGCGCCTCAGGGCCGCGCGCCCCTTTTCTGCCCCGGGCGCCGGCTTGGTCCCGGGCCAATCTCTGGGTCAGCGTGTTGGGGTTTCGAGAGATCCGCCGCTCCCAGCGCGGCTCCGCCGGGCCTAGACCCAAGCTGGGAAGCGCCGGGGCGCGGGGAGCCTGCGGGCCGCGTCTCTCCCGGGGGCTGGCGGGACTGTGCGGTGGGGTCCGGCCAGAGCCCGGCCGCTCGGCCCGCACGTCTCCCCCGCGCTGGCGTCTCCCCGCCCGCCCCCTCCGCGAGAACGGCGTTTGCCCGGCGTGTAGTCCTAGACAAGCGTACTGTGTAGGAAAAGTCTGTGTTCTGTAAAGTGTGACCGTGTAAGTGCAGGGGGGCGGGAGGGGGGACGGGCGGCGGGAGGGAGGGGCACGCGGCGCGGCGACGCGGGCTAGGGTCCTTTTTTTGTTTTTTGCAGGAAAGCGGCCGGGTGGGGTGAGGGGACTTTCTGTCGTCGGGACCAGCCCTCTCGGCGAAGCGCAGCACAAGCGCGGCCCGGGGCGGAGTAGCCCCCCGGAACCCGTGCCCTTTTCTAAACTCGTCTGTATGTAAACAGCCAATAAAGTAATTGATTTGAACCGGGCTTGGTGACTTTTTGTCAGGGTACTGAGAGAGGAAGCTTGAGGAACGGAGGAGGAAACCGCAGAAGGAGGGAGCCCCTGGGAGCCTTGCGTTGGGATCCTTTGTGTGATTCCTGTGTTTATCTGACTGTCCTGTCATTTTGTCAGGTGTTTGCACCGAGCCTCCTCTGAGTCCTCCACCTTCTAGGGTGAGGTGAGGAAACCACATGGGGTGGGGACAGGCTGGAAGTCAGTGGGGAGAGGTCAATAAAAAGGGAGGGGGGTGGGTGTGTGTGTGCGCGCGTGTGTGCAGACTACGAACATAGGGAGCTATGGGGGGGGGTGTGTGCTTGTGCATTTGCACTTGACTGTATACACCATCCTCTTTAGGTTGGGACTGTCACTGTGATGGGGTGTAGCTGTGTGTGGTGTCAAAACTGCCGAGTTTCTGAGTCTCAACATCAGCCTCTGAGTTCTCTAAGAAGCCAGTGAGGAGGGTAGCGTCATAGGAAAAAGACTGTTGTGGCTTGCACGGGAGAAGTCACAAATAACACAAACTACACAGCAGCAAATGGTGTGGAGCAGACGCAGTTGAGGGTTGGGGGTAGAGGCCTGGCAGAGTCGATTCTACAGAAAAAGCTGGCACCTTTAACCTGGGAGCCAAATGTGTGCCTCTCCGAGGTGGGCAGCTGTTGGGATGTGCTGAGATGGGTGCAAATGTGTAATGGGGGACAAAAGCACACTGATTTAATAGTCCTGAAATGGGGCTTCTTGGGTGGGGAACAGGAGATATGGGGGTAGAAGCAGGTGTTGCGCTTCTGACTAGCCTGAAGGACTGGGGCCAGGCTCTATAGGGGAGGAGGGTGGGTGGAAGAGGAAATGAACAGAGTGAGAGGAGAGATAGAGTCCAGGGTCCATCTCACCCTACCTTCTTCCTGCTTCCAGACTCTTCTCTTTCCTCCCCCTGTGGGTATCATGTCTTTGTAAATACACCAGTCCAGGCTGGGAACCAAGCCTAGATACCCAGCATCTTTTATAGCCCCAGGCCTGTCTCCTGACACAGGTGGTGGCTGTGACACTTCCCAAGCCTGATCCCATGTCCCTTCCCCAGAACAAGAAAGCTCTTGCAGAAAAAAAAAAAAAATTCCTTCTTTGGGGCCTGGCCTGAAACCTGCTCCTGGTCACCACCCAAGGCTTGCCACTACAGCCCACCCCATTTCCAGGGACAGAACTCAGAAGTATCATCTGTTAGGAAGATGGCTGCTTTGATTTACTGGCATACCTGGCTTCTGAGCAGGGGACAGGGACTGGCTCCATTCCTAGGACTGGCCAGGAATCCACCCATATGACTGCATGTGGGAATAGGCCTGGCTGGGCCACTGAGTGCTCAACAGTTTGGGCCCAACCCAATTCTCTAGTCACCGGTCTCCAGTGGGGAAAAGAGCTCCTTCCTGTTCCTTCTTGTCCTAAGAATTGGGGGCCCTCCTAGAGACCCCCTAAAGTACAATGTACCTGCTAGAGAAAGTGCAGAGGAGCTGAGAATGCTGCTCCTTTGTTCAGGGCCCAGCCCCCTAATGGATGGACAAATACTGCTTGTCTAGACCTTGTGCTCCCTGGGCAAGGCCAGGCCTACAGGCTCAGTCCACAGGACAGGAATGAGTAGGTGCTGGAGGACAAGGACACTCTGCTTACTGCCCACCGAGATACCAGTCCTCTCAGGACCTTACCAGTTTCTGGTCAAATGTTTAGTGCATGCGCAGAATGGTCTCCAGCCTCTGGCCTTCCTTCCAATCTCCTTTTAAATTTTATTCTTTTATTTTCTCCCCCTTGTTCCTCTTTGTTCTCTTTTCAGTTTTTCCAATTCAGCTACCCATTATAGGTTTTAATTTCTTTTTATGGTGTCCCTGTCAGGTGGTCATGCACCCTTGGCTTATCTAGGGATGGGGAATTCACTATTCACTCTCTCCCCTCACCCCCTAGAAACCATGGTTGAGCAGTTTAAAATGTGTCTCTCCCCTGCTTCTACCCCAGACCTAAATGCCCCTGGCAAGTGCTCTGAGAACCTGCAGAGGTGAGCAGGTATAGCTCCTCCCTCCGTCCCTCACTCCAGGGCTCCAAACTTTTCAATCAGGGCACCTTCTGTGAGCCTTTACTGTGGGCTCCAGGTGCCATCCTAGCCAAGCTCTCTCCAGTGTGTTTTGTTACAAAATTCACTTGGATATTACATGGGAATGGAGTCTAATGACGAGGGTGTGTGTGTGTGTGTGTGTGTGTGTGTGTGTAAATGTGCAGTAGGGGACCTGGAATATGGTCAAAGAATGCAATATGACAGCAGTAGCCTCAGAGCTCGGAGCAATTTATCAGGAGCAGTAATTCTTTGAGCTACAGAAACCAGATGCCCAGGATATGGACTTGAATGAGATCAGAAACCTGTCTTCAGAAAGGTGATTTGAAAGGAGTGCCTCCCCCACTTCTAAGTATTTCCTGAAGATCAGCTGGAATGAGAACCATCTTTAAGATCAGTATAGTAAGCCCTTAATAAAAAAGAACAAAGGAAAGCAGGGCTTCTTTGAAAAAGAAACGCTGGGGTGGGGTCCTCTTGTGTCCAGAATGCTGCCCTCTACCCATAACATTTGAATAACAACCACAACTAAAGCTAACATCTCCAAAGACTAGTTTAGTCAATCTGTGTCTAGACTATTATTCCCTGATGGTATTGTGTAATCTCAGTTTTTCCTCCTGGAGCTCAGGAAAATACATTTTGGTAGGGAAAGGGGAGGAAATGGTATCTTGCTATGACTGTCTTACCCCAATTTTGTTAATATCAGAGCCCCAGTTACGGGACACTCAGGGAAAGATAGACCTGCCACTGTACAAGAGACATTATCTACAGAGAAAGGACCATGACTTTGTGAGCATTAAGCAAGGGAAACTGGGGGACCCTGTCCTTTCAGGAATGAGGTACATACTTTGCAAAAAGCCACAGGCCACAGGCACCAGGACATATGAACGGCCCTTTGCAGAGGCCATGAATTGTCAAATCTGACCTAAGAAATACTTTTACCTTATAAATCTCCAACGTAAAGGTATTGATAGGAGAAATTCTGCTGGGCAGGTGGTGATGGAGCAAGCAGAGCCGTTTCTGTTGTAATGTGTCCGTTAATTGATTGCATTTGAAGCACACCCACTCACACCTGTATGTTCAAGGACAAGATTTTGCCTTAGGACTCAATAGAGAATAATATTATATTGAAAATGAAAGATCTGCTGTGACTGGCATCAAGAAGAGATTAAATTTTTAAACGTCTTGCAATATTAGCATTTCATTCAAAATAGGACCACTGCTGCAAATGAGACTTGATGTGACTTTTTTTTTAAAGCCTCCCGAAGACCCCAGGATGGATAGAAAATGAAACCAACTTGTTGGGTTAAATTAGTTGGAAAGACTTTGTATCATCTTGTGATTGAACAAGTAATTTGAAGATGGTATGATTTTTAAAATTATGCTAGCTATGTTTTGTTTGGACATGTGAATGGAAGCTGAATAATTAAGTTTAAATCCACATGGGACGAGGAGAATAAAAGTGTTTATATTTTTATTAACCATTTACACTTAACATAGCCCCTTGTGTATTAGGAGTTAATTT